ATGTTATCTGGAAAATAACATCGATCAATGTTAATCAAGTCTTTCTCTCATTAAGTGAAAATATTCAAAATTACTATTCATAACAGCATGATGAAGAGGTGTCCGATCATGGGAGTCCTGTAAATCAACTTTGGCTCCTTTCGTGATGAGCATTTCAGCGATATCCTTGTATCCTGAAAAATAGCACAGATCAATGAAAAAAATCAAACCATTCACTTATTTACCGAAAATGAATATTCAAAATTACCATTTATGGCAGCATAATGAAGAGGTGTCCGATCAAAATCGTCCGTGACATCAACTTTGGCTCTTTTCGTGATAAGCATTTCAGTGACATCCTTGTATCCTGAAAATTTACACCAGTCAATGAATGAGATCAAACTTATTTCTTATTCATGAAAATATTCAAAATTACCATTCATGGCAGCCAAATGAAGAGGTGTACGCTGTTCTTCGTCTCTCGAATCAACTTTGGCTCCTTTCTTGAGGAGATTTTCAACGTCCTTCAAGTTATCTGAAACAGATCAATAAAATAGATTCAATCATTTTCCCATTTGGTGAGCATAGTTTTCCAGAGCTACCATTCACAGCAGCGACATGTAGAGCTGTTCGGCTGCTTTCTCCTTTTTTGATTGCTTAAAATTGAAAAAAAAAATAAAAAAATCAGTGAAGTGAATCAAAGGAAAATGTCTTACATCCGCGAGATGAACTTTTCACGCCCTTGTGTAGAAAGACAGCGAAATGAGTGTTCAGTTATTTGGAGGACTTCTTCAATTCCACAGAAAAAATAAGGTAACTTATGTCGAGAACCCATAAAATAACCCATAAATTGAGCCAATTTTTTTAAATATAAATCCCGAATTCAGCCAGAAAATTTTCATTTTTATTTTATTGAAGCGAATATTTCACGTTACACTTTTTAAAAAAACGATTCCGTATTGGTGTAGTATTCGGAAAAAAACAACAATACCGTCAGAGACAAATGCTAATTTCGAACTGATAATTACTTGATATAGAACAATGACGATTGGAATGGATGATTCAACGCGTTGTTTTTTTCTTAATCTAATTATACGTCAAACGAATGTTAAATGTAACGTTACATTTTGTATTTTCTAAAATGCAACAAATTCGTCATGAATGGTTTGAATCAATTGAGTTTTGGTTATTTTGGCCTGGATTCTTTGTAAGAAATTTAGCTTCAATCTTACCTTTTGTTATGGCTCCCTTTGCTTTGTCAAGCAATCCACCAGCACATTCAATTTGCTTCAAGTTGAAAAATAGGAACGCATATATGTTACTTAGTTTGGAATAACCAAATTGAATGAATTGAAATGTAAAATGAATGGATTTTTGAAACAAAAAAAAACATTTGCCAATATAACATGGTGGATTGACATTGCTTTAAATTTGGGGTAATGAATCGCGTGGTAGTTTTTTTTGGAAAGTGAAAAAATGGAAAATGAAAAAATACTCTTCATGTCATCGATCGACACAATGCACATTTTTTTTTAGAAAAAGTTGTAAGTTACCATGAATTGGTCTCCCAAAACCGCTACCAGAACCAAACAAACTAAACGGAGAGAAAATATTGATTAAAAGACAATGAGTGACTGAAATCTCAAGTATTGTCAAAAATGAAAATTAAAAAAAAAATGAAGGAAAAAAGAACTAAGAAGAGACTCACCCATCAATTGCTTAGACATGTTTATAGCCGAATCACTTGAACAATAACTAATTTTCCACGCATTCGGTGCCCCATTTATAGTCAAAAATTAGATGTTGTAATCTTGTCGTTACTATGCCACGTACAGCAAAACGAAATTCCTTACGACTGAAATCGCAAACAAATTATTTGAAAAAATGTTTTTAATTCGAGCTTCTTGCGTCAATTCTCGCGTTTTGTTATTTTGACAGGTGCAAATGTTTGGATATGTGAATGAACTTGTATTGACGCAAGGGAAATTGCGCATGCAAACCACATTAGTATGAAAAATTACCCGTTTGTAAC